AGAGAGAGAGAGAGAGAGAGAGAGAGAGAGAGAGAGAGAGAGAGAGAGAGAGAGGAGAGAGAGAGACTCAAACTCATTCTTGACAAGTACATGAAAACTTGAGATTTTATAGCATAGTTGCAGTTGAACCACACTATACCAATGAATAAAACAGGACACAATGAAGACTATTGAAGGACACAACAAAGATTTAAGTATATTCAGTGAACAAAATTTGACGAAATAGGTCCTCAAAGATAAAACCTCCATTTACCTGCTGCATAAAGAGTATAGCATAACCTGTAAAGGCCGGATGGTACACTATGTTCAAGGCCTTTCTGTATTCCTGCACGGAGGTCTTCTCCAGCACTCCAGGCTCCATATAAATCCCCTGAGGGTGGGAGTCCATCTGGAAGACGTTTGAGGTCCACAGGCATCCGACCATGCTTGTTATATATTGATTGTATTCTTGGCAAATCTGTCTGTTAAACTTAATCTGCAGCGATGCCTGAGAGGATCAAGGAAGACAAGGTTTGCAATAGCTCTTTCACCCTTCCTAAAAGCAACCGTTTGCATTACTTGCAGAATACCAGGCCCAGATCTTATGAAAAGACCAAAGGCAAAAATTGCTTTTTCAGGCAAAGTCAGAAAAATAAGTGGAATCTTTGAACAGGTACAGTAACTTTGGAAAACAAATTTGAAAGGTAAGAGAGAGAAAAGCTAACTACTATATTATGGTAATGACATAGCAGGCACTGTGCCTTGTTTTATTGTACCTTTTTGGATTGTAGGTATTTCTTTGCAGCTATCAAATTGGTCCGATACCTAAAATAGAAACGACGAGGGTTTGACTATTTTTTTAAACTCCAATCAGGACTGCTAAAATTCCAACCCATAAGCGATAGCTAAGAAAGATAGCTGATTTCTTGGCTACTTGCATTGCTGGTCCCCATTCCCAACATTTTAGGTATCAAGAAATCTTTCCCATCTGGCTTTATGGAAAGTTGCTAAGTTTAGTAACATGGTTGTTAAGGGACATTGCTTGTCAGAAGGTCACAAAAGGGGATCTGATAACTCCAGGCCACTGCAACCTGTCATAAATATGAACCAGTTGCCAAGCGTCTGAATTTTGATCATATGACCATGGGGAGGCTGCAATGGTCGTAAGCGTGAAAAACGATCCTTTTTTTCAGGGCCATTGCAACTTTTCCTGTAAAAACTGGAAATCCCCCAAGAGTAAGCCCAAACTCCATATAATGAATATAATTTTCAACATAACTCCCCGACTGCTTCTTTCTGGGTGGACTGTCCGCAGCTTTTGAGGGGAGAAAACTAACGTAAAGAATCCTAACATAGTATTCAGCAACTGGTGAATTCTCAGGCGCCAAGTACTAGAAGCAAAACTGCTGAAAAACAACATTGCTGAGCCACGAGCCTTGTAAAAACAAATCCAGATTCACAGTTGACCTCAATAACTCAGTCCTTTGCTGACCACCAGCAAACAGGGCATTGTGTCCCCCAATTAACACCACTATGTTCTACACAATTAAAACTGGAGTTCCAATGATTTAAGCTTCACCAAGACGATTCTTGTAATTTTATGACAGTTATCTGCCCATCAAATCATGTCGGATTTGATGGGTGTGATGTTTGTGAAGCGCTATTTAATATGAAAAAGTTGACTCTTAATTTCACAGGGTGGCTGGAGAGATGGCTTACACACGCTTATGAAATCGCTGTCTGAGACGACTCTTGTCCCCTTTCAGTCACTCTTTCTGGGGAAAAGTATGAAAGCGAGTAACCAAGGCAACAGTAGGTTTAAGAGAAACAAGTCATCAACTGGGAATTCATTTTTATAATTATCTTGTTTATCAAATTTGAGCTTGGGTTTCTTGGCCGAAGAAAGCAGATCTTGGCACAATGTTTTACGGAAGGAAAAGATGAGCAATATGTCTTCACATCTGGGCATAAAATTTGAACGTTTGGCAACTGACTCATATTTGTAACAGCTGCAGAGTCAAGTGATTCCCATTGAGAAGCAAAGTCAAAGGGGAATCAGATTCACTTAACCGTGCTACTAATTTAACAACTGCAAGGGTTCACTTAACAAATGTGGCAAAAAAAGCCATAAAAAGGGGCAAAGCTCACTTAACAAATTTCTCTCTTGACAACATAAATTCTGGGCTCAACTGTGGTCGTACACTGAGGACTGACTACCTGCACTGGTTTACCCAGTACCATAGAGATTATATGGCCTCCCAGATGGTTTGAAAGTCCTCCGGGATTGGGTGGCCTATAAATAAAATTAAACTTGAAAGGTTAAAAATAGCATAGGGAAGAAAAACCAAGGAAAGGCCCTGTCAGTACCTAAACATAATGTGGCATAGCTGGTCCACTGTGACAGAATCCATGCTGAGAAGTGCTGGATAGAAAACTCCTGCAGGAGGGATCACAAGCAAAGGGATCTGGTACTTCTGAAACATGTCACATACCTAGAATAGGGAAGGGATTTCAGTACAGTGGTTACATATAAAAACTGAGTCTCTCATATCCTTGTCATCCTCCTATTCACACCGGGCTCCAATCATGACGCAAAACTCAATACAGATTTACTATAGATATAAAAAAACATAGGGTAACGAGATTGCTGCTACTATTGGACTTTCTACTATATAGAAACTTTTAGAAGTGCCCCCCACCGCCAAATCGATTTATTGGAGAAGATTGTTTCAATTGGAGCTACTTAATAGTGTGAATCTTAAACAAATTATTTTTGGAATAGTTTGATTGTTATCTCTTAGTTGTTTTTATTGCTGTCCTAAACAGATTAATTTTTTTTGTTGAGGTTCCCTTGGCTGCAATCTTTCTGAAATTGGAGAAGCATTGTTCTAAGAAAAATAATGGGTTCTGTATGAACAAAAGGTTTTGAATCCTTTAAATTCCTTCCTTTTCCATCTGTCTGTTTCTGTCTATCAATCATCCTATCATCCATCCATCTATCTATCTCCTGCCTTTATTTTTACAAGTTATTCAAGGCAGCGAATACATCCAACACATCTATTAGAATCTCTTCACTAATACTATCTAAGTGTGTTATCTAAATACTTGAAATAGAGTAGCTTACATACTATTTCATAGAAATCCAGAACAAAGTGCATTAAAAAAGCAGAGTTGTTCTCCAAGTGCAGGGCAATGGTTGAAAGCCGGCCAACAAAATGGATGAGTTCTGTTATAGAATTAACCAGGCTTGAAACAGAAGTGTTCCTGCAGCAGAATGAGACACAAACATGAGCATTCGCTTAGGAAATGACTTTTACGTATGAGAGTATATTTCTTCCCGGCTTCCAACTGGAAATCATAGTGCAAAACAGATGGGACCATGTTTTAAAAAGATGATACTTACAGGACTCCTGCATTTAACTCAGCTGCCATATCTGCTTGCAAGAAGTGCCAATTCAGCCAGTTCAGTAGCAGTTCCCTCAGGCTTTCAAGAACACTACACTATAAAGAACAAGGACATAAAAAACACATATTGAATAGCTGCAATTCAGTCTTAAGGAACTATGCTATGATGCTAATTTTATAGACAGACAGACAGCAATCAAAAGACAGAAACAGAGCAAGACATTTTTGTAAGATTCTATCTCATTGCAAAAAAGTATGTAAGAGAAAACTGCACACTTCTTTTGGCATAAGTAGCCCTGCATTAGTCAGCGAACCCAAATATTGTTTCCTGCAGCTTGGATAAAAATTGTTAACGTTTTGGAAAAATGATAGCTAGCAGAGGGCATATTTCCTTAGTATGACATAAATCAAGTTTGTTGTGTCAAAATGTCTATTCAGAGGGCCCTTCATTTACCTTAAAATAAAGTGATGAGGTGAAAAACAGCTGTGTCAACGGCTTGCAGAGATAAGGTTTCATTTCTGAAAATGAAGAAACAAACAAAGAGCAATTTTGAAACCAGAAGCACTGGACTACAGAACAGGGCAAGATTGGTTGAGTCTGCATCATGTACCTGAGAAGCTGCTGAGGGGAATCCAACTGATCATCTGCAGGACTTGTGACCTACAGCAGCAACCATCCCAGAAGGGCAGACTTCGGTACAAAAATTCTTCACAAGACGAGAAGCCCTCCTGAAAAGCATAAACTCTTATCAGGGAAACCCAGATTTCCTTCCAAATAAATTCTCCGACTTTCTCCTGGGCAGCAGGCTTTTAATTGTCCACTCTAGGACAAGACATCAGCGGTATCAGTTAGTTGGACAGGGAAGGAGATGCCATGGGGCGAGGTACCTTCATGATGATACCTTCCCCATGGTGATGAATAATCTCATCCAGTGGCTTCCTGGGGATGTTCTATTTAACACCGAGAGTGGAGATACTACCAAATCCTGCAGACCCTCACATAATAGGGATATAGGGTGGGACCTTTCACTCCCAACCAAGACTGAGTGGTACTGTGGAGTCTCAGCTGATGCCACATCCAAAACCTAGTTGGGCATATTTCCACAAAGGGAACCTTCTCCTCCGAACCCAGCCTCTCATCTTGGATTAGATCTCAGATAAAGGAGGATTGATTAAGGATAGAAGGACTGCCAGATCAGGGAAAAGGACTGGGGGGCTGAAATGCAGAACTGGTATAAGACACCTGGCCTGCCTCTCCTACAAGTGGCCAATCCATAGTCTCCGACCTTCCTATATCCATTGTAATCTTCTCAACTGCCCCCAATTGTGTTGACCTCTCTACGTGCCCCATCCTATGCCCTCCGGAATGGCATGCTGCTGCCATTCCAATACACAGCCTGGTGATGCCAAGGGCAAAAACATTCTTTTGATAATCACGGAAAGGAAAAGCTTAAACTAACCTGTAAGAAGCATTCAGCTTCCAAAACGGTGTCCAAGAATTCTTTGAATTCCAGTTCATATTTCTGGTTTTCAATCTTAGTCCAAGGGCATTCTGTGTTATAAATAAGAAAATAGAGGGGAAAAAATTGTTTGGTTAGAATCCTTTCTTCTTCTTTGCCTCTCTGAGAAATAATAAGCCATTATATGTGCAAGCAACAGTATCAGAAGTGGTATTCAGCTGGTTTGGACTGGTTCGCCCGAACCAGTTGTGGAAATCGCAGGTGAGCCCGCTCACCCGCCCCAGCTCTATGCAGTTCTATTTAGGCACGTTTTCAAGCCAAAGCGCATGTGCGGAATGCCATGCATGCGTGGATAGGTGCTCCTGTTTGCGAACCAGCAGGGAAAGTAAGTGAATACCACCCCTGAACAGTATGTTTTAGCATACAGGTAGTCCTCGACGTACAACCACAATTGGGAACAAAATTACCATTGCTAAGTGAAACACTTGTTAAGTGAGCTTTGCCCCATTTTACGATCTTTTTTGCCACAGTTAAGCGAATCATGACAGTTAAGTTAGTAACTTGGTTGTTAAATGAATCAGCCTTCCCTATCTGCTTGTCAGAAGGTCGCCAAAGCTAATCACATAACTCCATTACACCGAAACTGTCATAAATACGAGACAGTTGCCAAGCGTGTGAATACTGATCATGTAACCACAGGGAAGCTGCAACGGTCATAAGGGCGAAAAAAGGTCACACGTCACTTTTCTCATTGCTGTTGTAACTTCTAACAGTCACTAAAATGAATGGTTGTAAGTTGAGGGCCACTTGCTATTTATCTCCACTTAGAGGGCACCAGTCACAAGGAGGAGTTCCCCTACCTTCTCTGAAGGTTTGGCCAAGCCAATAATACATCCTCTGGTAAACGACATCATCTGTGACACAATTAACGTAGTGGAGCAACAGGTGATTTCCCAACACTGAGCCTATTTGGGAAGGAAGCTATGAAAGCAATCAGGAGAAGACATTGTCAACTAACAGGCACCGTAGACATGGTTGAACTAATGCTACTTTGTTTCTTGACCATTTTTAAACAAACACCCAGAAGCTGCTTTCAGTAACTTAATGGTATTTACTTTTTCAGTTGTTTAGAAAATATTTCCCCCCCTCTGGCTTGAATTAAAAAAGAAAACTTGCCTAAGACAAAACAGTACACATCTCCACCGTCCCAGCCTTCCGCATAGCCTTGAAGAACTGGCTCGCCCGTCAGGCCTGGGGATAAGGATCGCTGCCCCGCCCGAATGATGAATGTATGTTGTTTATTATTTTATTATATGTTGTTATCTTAATGTTGTATTCCCCCCCTCCCTGGTTTTCTGTGAGCCGCCCTGAGTCCCCTCAGGGAAAAGGGCGGCCTACAAATGCTAATAAACCACTAAACCACTAAACCACTAAATGATCAGGAATGTATAATAATCCCTAATAGAAGTTCATGTTTTTACAGTCCATTGTAACCAGTAGGTACTTTCAGGTCTTTTAAAAACAGTGATCCGTTCTATAATTTTTTGATTTGCATGATATTAGACAGGCATTTATTATTGTAATATATTAACAAGCTTCAGGGTGCTAAACCAAGCACTTGCACTCCCATCCTTTGTTGTTTCTGTTCCCTTGGATGTCAGCCACTTACTTCTAAACAATGGATGTTCTCCAAAAGCTGGGAGAAAGTCTGAAGATGCTGTACTGGGAAGAATTCAGGATGACTATTGAAATCGATACAATTGGCCGTAGAACTCTGAGCCAAATAATCAGAGTTGCTGTTACTCTCAGGTATCATCAATTTTGAATTCCATTTCTACAAAAAGCAGAAATCCAACCCTAGCAATTAATAGGTATAATTCTGTTGTGATGAAATAGAGTCTTCAACTCAATTACTCTTTTCTAAATATTTCTTTACTGGATCATCCCCATCCTTACACACACACAAATACACACACACACACACAGAGGGTGCTATATTCAATATGGAAATTCAAGGCAGGACCAAGAGGAAAGAAAATTTCAGAGCCTTTGTGCACTCAATTGAATTAGTAAAATCAGAAAAAATTACACAATATGAACACTGTCCCCCCCCCAATATCTATGTAGATGTTAAAAAAGATGAGAAAGAGAAAAAAAAAAGATGAAGCATCAAGAAATCAGTTGCTATTGTAATGGAACATGGTTTGGCAAATACTAAAGAAACTGATTGTGAATTATAAAGAGGAGCAATGTAAGGAATAGTCTAGAAAGTAACAACTGCCAAAAACGTCAATGAAAAAATTGACACACAATCACAGACTAGGAACCGCATTTAAAGAATCTAAAGTAACTTACTTTCTTGGGGGGCTGAAATGCTAAAACTGGTTGTGATGTAGGTGAAATGCCATAAATCCGTTGCTTTATGTTACCAATTGCAGTTTTCCACTGGTTTTCTGAGTTCTTAAATTGCATCTGTGGTGAAAGTGAAAGTTTCCATTATCCAAGATGAAAACAGCGTGTGTCTGTGTATATGTCTATGCATATATTATTTCCATGTATATTTAATTTAATATTTAATTCCACGTATTCTCATGGGGAATTAAAAATATATGCAAGCTTTCCTTTTTCAAATGTTTAGATGGGTAAAACTTAAGAGTTGAATGGCAGAAGACCATTCAACTCATTGTGGATTAAACTCCAATTCAATGATTTCTATTTTCATTGAAGTCACTTATATGATGGTACTCAATTTTACCAAGTCTTTGGTATTAGGATATGAGATTATTTTAGAAAGGATTGTATAGGAAGAGTTTTCATCTTCTGCTTCAAAGTTTGCTCACTCTTCTTCTCTGGTCTACAGGTTCTAACTACACACAAATGCACACCACTTCATATGTTCCTTCCTGCAATCATGAAGAACTGAAGAACCTGGGGTAGTCCTCCCATAGAGAAATCAAAGGATAACCCTCCCATTCAGTCATCCTTTCACCTTTGTGCTTTGGAACACATTTGAAGCCACCATGCTTGGAGCAAAGCTTTTATACATTAAGAGAAGAGCCTGCAACGGAGCTTCTGATCCCTGAGAAAACATAAAAACAAAAACAAAGTCTAAAGTTAATTGCCAGAAAAGGATGAAGGTAAAGTCCTCTTATTATAACTCACAAGTCTAGGAAGCTGAGGATTATTCTAAATCCTTATGTGTGAGAGCAGTTGTGAAAAGAGAAGAATCGAATAAAGAAGTCTCTACTGACATAAGCATTTGGTGGGCACCCTCTTATTTATGGGTTATATACATTGTTGTTTGCAGAGCATCACTTCTCAAGAGAAGTCTTAATCAGCTGTCAGAACATTAGATCCTTCTATATTGCTTTATCACATTTCTTAAAATATAATTTACTAATCATGTAATATATAATGGATGCCAGTGACTTTAACATATCAATTGTTTTAACTAGATTTTTAAATATGCACAGTATATGTATTTGGTATTGGTATATTTATATTTAAAAACCATCTCTTAAAAACTGAACACTGAGATAAAAATGGAAATAAATAAATACTGGATATTGATTTGTTTTCACCCTGTGCAAAAGTTATCCCATCACAGATGTGAATTTAAATTTTATAAATTGTATTTCACATGTCATTGGTTTCAAATGACTCACCATCTTGGATCTTAAATCTAAGAGTCGTCGCACACGGAAAGGTTTTACTAGGAAGAAAGATAAATATTGTCTAATTATTTGGTGTTTTTTAAGATTTTATATTCTGGTCTTGACGAGGCTATATATAAAAAGGAAGAGATACTTTTATTCTAAGAGATGAACATACTAGACTCAGGCTAGAATAGCATACACAAGCAAAATTGACTAGCTTCCCTTATTCTATGTGTTATAATCTTATAAACTAAAGAGTTGAACACCTGTTCTAAAAACAAAACAAAAAACCCCCTCATTTGCAGGTAATTTAAATCAATAGAATAGGCTAGCAATGAACATTTAAAAAATAACTGTAGTAACTCAAAGCCTTTAAGGAAGAAAGCAAGAAAAATACTTTATTTTGAAAGTACATTATACATTCTGATTCCAATGATCACCTCACCATTTTCTCTTTTGGTCAGCAAATATAGCACATGGCAGACGAAGGGGCACTACAGAAAAAATATATCAAAGAAATACATAATTGGGCACAGTCTATGCTTTACACTTCTCCAAAACAATATAAGGAATTAGCATTTCTTTTAAACTTAGGATACATTAGTGGCATTATATTGAACAATTTGAATTTCAGTACCTTAAAAACATCAGCTTAAGGCAGTGTTTCTCAACCTTGGCAACTTGAAGATGTCTGGACTTCAACTCCCAGAATTCCCCAGCCAGCATTCGCTGGCTGGGGAATTCTGGNCAGTAGACAGTCTTAGAATGGATGGATAGATGAATGGATGGAAGCTTGCATTGGTATAGTCAGTAGATAATCTTGTAATGGATGGATGGATGGATGGATGGATGGATGGATGGATGGATGGATGGATGGATGGGATGGGATGGTTTAATGGATGCTTGCATTGGTATAGTCAGTAGACAGTCTTAGAATGGATGGATAGATGAATGGATGGATGGATGGATTCTTGCATTGGTATGACAATCTTGTAATGGATGGATGGATCAATAGAATGATGGATGGATGGATGGACACTTGCGTTGGTATAATCAGTAGACAATCTTGGAACAGATGAATGGATGGATGGATGGGTTAATGGATGGATGGATGGCTTGATGGATGCTTGCATTGAAATAGTCAGTAGACAATCTTGGAATGGATGGATGGATAAGGTAATAATAATTTATTCAGCTCTCAGGGATGGTTCATGAGCAATCTTTGTCAAATACATCAGCTACTGAAAACCACTTTGACTATTTATGTGGAGCATATAGAGCAGGTGTGTTCAACCCACAGCCCATGGCAACGTGTGGCCCTGGATTGCTAGTAATTGGCTCCACGAGATAACAAAAATACAAAAAGAAAGAAAGAAAGCTTGTTAACTATATTTTATATGCGGCCCAAATGATTTCTCTTCACTCAATGCAGCGCAGGCAAACCAAAAGGCTGGACAACTGTGCTACTATCAATAAAATTTATTTGAAAGAAAGATCTCTTTTGAATCTAGCTGTGCTTCTGACCTCATTGGCAGGCGGCTTTCCTGATAACTGCATGGAGATGATTCATCTTTGCATTCACTCAGGATTTTTTCCTTCCTGACTTCCCACTCCAGCTTTCCACCCCAGCTTTCCCCGGGAGCTTCCCATCCTGCTTGGCTTCCAAGATCAGACAAAGCCGGATGCCCCTGGATGAAGCAACTACAGCAATAAATGTCCTATATTCTGAGAGGCCACCAACGTCCCATATAAAATAATATCAGGTTGTGAACAGATTCTTGTTATTACAGTCCCTGTGCAATTTAAAGAATGGAAATTGTATAAAAAACAAAACATAATTCATCCTGGGGAAAAGAAATTGGATTGGGTGGGCAAATCAACAGAATGTATTTATGTGTGGGTGGGTGAATAAAGTAGCTGCAGAGAGGAATTCTTATAACCATTAAAAAAAATGATGCGCACCTATAAATAAATACAAATATAAATACAAAAAAAGCAACCCAGACTTCCTAAAGCTGTAAAACTCTTTTTCAGAATAAGGAGTTGGGGGAAAAAAAAAGAGTCATTAAGTTTCATCTGAAAAACCTGCAGTGTTATTATACACATCATCCTTTCCTAGCCATGCATTGAAAAAAATGGTGCCACAGTGCTCTTGTTTGTACAACATGTGAAGCTATGATATGCTTAACTATGGTTTATTGAGTACTGTCGCACGCAGCTGACTGGTTCACACAGAAAGTCAAAGCATAATCTCTGCCTTTCGAATCACAGTGGCAGACAATACACTAAATCACAAACAAGTACTAGTATCTTAGTTGAAATGAGATATGCATCCTGCCCAAGAGGTGTTCATTCATCATGAGAAGTCAGAGGTTGTTCCCTTCTTCTGTTGGTCCGAATGACTAGATTTATACCTTGTTTTAAGCCCCTCGTTTGTGCGCTTAGCCACAATCCTTACATCACACTATGCCATCAAACATGTTTTGCAAATCATGGAGAGATTATGTCACATAACTTCAAAACCAAACCATACTACACAGTGTGAACCGGATGAGTACAACAATGTGAGTGAAAGGAATATTTGTTACAACGCCAGTGCAAATATAATTAATTAAAAAGAAAAAAAAAGCAGTTCAGTTGACCAGTGATATCAAGCTCTTGGAAATACAAATAAAGACAACACTTATCAGGATAAGAAGGGGAAGGGAAGGAAAAGGAAGGGAAGGGAAGAGAAGAGAAGAGATAGAGATAGAGAGGAATGGAATGGAAGGGAAGGGAAGATAGAGAGGAATGGAATGGAAGGGAAGGGAAGGAAAAGAAAGGGAAGGGAAGAGAAGAGAAGAAAGAGGACATAAGATAGAGAGGAATGGAAGGGAAGGGAAGGAAAGAGAAGAGAAGAGAAAAGATAGGAAGGGAAGGGAAGAGAAGATGGAGAGGAATGGAATGGAATGGAAGAGAAGAGAAGGAGGAATGGAAGGAAATGGAAGGAAAGAGAAGAGAAGGAGGAATGGAATGGAATGGAAGGAAAGAGAAGAGAAGAGAAAAAAATCACCATGCTAGAAAGTTCCATTATTGTTTGTTCCCAGAAATTACAAGTCTGGCCATTTCAGTAATGTTGTATGAGTGAATATTACTGCATTATGAGTGACCTCCTGGAACAGACCAAAAAAAAAAAAAAAGAAACCTCTTCATGGTTTGACTGTCTGCATTGTCACGCAACTGGATCTCACCACCAGATTCCTTCATTGAAAAAAAAAAACACATAGAAAGAGCTGGAAACAGACTTGCTTTCTGACGGACAAGGAATGCCTCTCTCCTCTCAGCTTCCTAGTCCGGGCTGACGGAAGACCCTGATTTGTCATTTTCTAGAAGCTTCTCTGAGGGAGAACATTGGCGTTGAGCTGCAGGCAACCTGAGCCATGTGGGTCCCTGTTAACAGGTTATCGGGAATACGGATGCCAAATAATGGGACGATTTGTGAGTCTGTCACAACAACGCTGGAGGAAGGGGAGGGGGGTCTTCTAGATTTCTGTGGGCCACCTTCTCCTCACTCTAATAAGCAATCCCTTAGGTGTGGAAGAAGTCCTCTTCTGCCTCTGGCAAAAAAACCCACATCCATCACTAGCCCTCTGCTGCCTCATCCCTTCCGACGCCAAAACCATTTAAATCATCTCCCCTTTGCTTTTTCCTGGAAATAATGAAGAGGTCCTTTCTGCTCTAGACTGCCTTTCTATGCTTCTGCAACTGCTTTTTCCCCTTCCCTTCTTTTACAGCCTACCAGTTTTGTCTCCCTCTTCATCGGATGGCAAGAGAACCTGCCTTAGGAAGAAGGGACCGAAGGAACCTTGCAAATGGAGGAGGGGGAAGAGATTCCTGAGCAAAGGAAGACGAGAGGGTTGGGTGGTACATATTCGGTCCCTTTTTTCATTTCCTCAACCGTTGCTGTCATTCGTGCCCAAACTCCTACAATAACAGGGTAGCCAGCTGGCAAAATGTCTCCCACCCCCAGCACTGTATTTACTCACCATCTCATTGTAGGCATCCTTGCTGAGCCGGGGGGTCAGTTTGATGGTCCCCATGAAGACAAAAAAGAGCCCCAGGGCCACCGAGAGGGCCACGATGGTGACAGTTCGGGGGGAGGCCATTCGGATCAGGATGCTGCGGGCGGCTTCCCAGCTTGCTCCGATCCCTTGGCTATGTCAAGGGGTGGTCAGTCACCATGGAAGGAGATGGGGTGGAGGGGGGGAAGGAGCGGAAGGCTGCAGAAATCCGGGAGGATGACACAAAGCAGAGATGGGATGCCTCTTTTGGCTTGGCCGCCTCTGGGTCCTAACGTCCCGCTTTTTCACAGCGTCGGCAAGCTGGCATCTGCCAAACAAGAGGCAGGGAAGGTGGTGGGAGCTGGTCATGGCATCCATCCACCTTCTGACATGGTAAAAGGCTTGTCCTTGTCCACGAAAGCTCTCTGNGGAATTCTGGGATTTGAAATCAACAAGTCTTAAAGCTGGCTGGGGAATTCTGGGATTTGAAGTCCACAGGTCTTAAAGTTCCCAAGTTTGGACACCCCTGGTTTAAGGCACTGGGAAAAAAAAATTTTTTTTGACAGTTTTTCATACTTACAACCATTGCAGCATCCTCAAGAAGATCATGCTATCAAAATTCAGAGAGCCGGCAACTGACTTGTATTTATGACGGTTGTGGTGTCCGGGGTCATGTGATCACCTTTTGTGACCTTCTGACCAGCAAAATCAAACAGGGAAGACAGATTCACTTAACTGTGCAGTGGTTCACTTAATAGCGGTGGCAAGGAAGGTTGTAAAATGGAGCAAAACTCACTTCACAACTGTCTTGCTTAGCAGTGGAAATTTTGGGCTCAGTTATAGTTATAAATTGAGGATTATCTGCATCAAGGTCTTATTAGTGCTTCAGTGACCAGCCTGGTGTTATTCATCTATTCTAAGTGCTTTTAAAAAAAATAGCATTTGGTGCTGTAAGATATTCTCACCAATTTTCTGCAGTATCACCTTTCAAAAGCCCAGTTGCTCCTCTGGTTAGCCTTTCTGCTTGTCTACAGATTTCACAGCCATGTTAAAAGTGGGGAAAATCATGATATGCCAATATTCACTTTTCTTGCCAGTGTGATGTCTCTTTCTTATTTCGTCTAGACCTGTCATTTGTCTCCCAAGTAGATATATTTTTATTTCATGACTTAAGAGTCACCGTTATGTTCGTTATTGGTAAGAGATAAAAGTCTGGAACCTTTTCAATTTCTTTGCCGGTCGTTTGGACTGGACTGGCATTATCTATGGATGTGTTGTGATGGTAATGCAGGACGCCGGCTTTTTCATTCCTTCTTTTCTCCTTCCAAAAAGCTTAGAACTTGGAAGCTCTGAGGCAAAAGAGGAACAAAAGGTGAAAAATGAAGCTGGAAGGGACACTCTTTATAAGCAGCTTTTCCCAACCAGATGTTCCACAGATATCTATTAATCTCTGGCATATGGATTGAGATTAGGGTCATTGCAATCTGACAGATCTTCATCACCACCACCAGTTGATACTCTCCAAATATGATGGATAACAGCACCTCCCCCTGTCCAGCCAACACAACCAGATTTTTGGGGCGGAGAAAGAGATTTTTAGTTCAAAATTGCTGGACAGCCTGAGGCCAAGTAAAATTGTTGTTTAACCTCTCCCATTGGAGACAGAAAACCTAATTTTTCACCAATTCTGCTGAACTATTTTTGAATTAAAGGTAGTCCTCGACTTATAACAGTTCATTTAGTGACCAAACTTACAACGGCACTTTAAAAAGTGACATGAATATTTTCCACAATTACGACCATTACAACATTCCCTATGATCAAAATTCAGATGCTTGACAACTGGTTCATATTTATGACGGTTTGCAGTAACCTGGTGTCATGGGATCCCCTTTTTGTGACCTTCTGACAAGCAAAATCAACGGGTAAGCCTGATTCATTCAACAACTATATTACTAATTTAAGAACTGCAGTGATTCACTTAACAACTGTGGCAAGAAAAGTCATAAAGTAGGGGTAAAACTCACTTAACAAATGTCTCGCTTTGCAACAAAAATTTGAGGCTCAATTGTCATAGTTGAGGATTATCTGTATTGAGATTTCATATTTTATAAGCACGATTATCAAACTGGGCTTTCTTACACAGATCCACAGAGAGTTTCCTAAAGACCAATTTGCCTTAATTCTCTAATCCCAAATTCAAATTTGATTTAAACTACAAATCTTTGGTTACACTCAAAAAGCAACTTTTTGGACACTGAAGGAGTAAAGCAGGAATGTAGAAACAAACCCCATTAGATCCAATGAGTTTTACTTATGAGAAAACTTATACAGGATTGCAATATATGAGGTCTTTCTACAAAAGTACACTAAAATGTCTTTTTTTCCAATATGCAGAAAATATTCTAGACACTGAATGTTTAAAATTGTATTGCTCTGGTTTTTAAATGGCCAAATATTCATTTAAAAACTGGCTAATACTTCGTAAATGAAATTCTGTTCTATATTTTATACCCAGTATGTTAGGTTCAATTTGACTTAATGCTGAAAGTTTGCAATTCAATTGCTTTTAGATCCAAACCATAGCAAATGGTATATTTGCGTACAAGGGCAAACTTTTCAGAACATTGGACAGCAATCTTGTTCAGCATTTCTCCAAAACTTTGCAAATGGCATACAGCACATAAAAGCCATTGCAATTTTTTTTTAACCAGTTACTCTACATTTCTGTGGTATTATCAAACCTTTGTTAGCCTAAATCAACTGAACTCAGCACAGAAAACAGCATATTTGTCATGACTGAGAATTTCAGAGATTCCAAATGGAGTTTGAAACGGCTCCAGAGACAATACATGGATTTATTTAATGCTTGGCTTCTGCAGATAGAGTTTGAATCTCTTGATATATTGGCCAATATTCTATGGGATAAGTATGGCATGGAAAAATTCAGACTTACTTTTCCCTCTTAATCTTCATATGAACATACATCAGTATTTAATGGAAAGAAGTGACGGCCATGTTTCATGGATCGTCCACAGAGAATATTTGTTCAGTCTTAATGTAAAAAAAAACCAAACCTGCTGCTTGTAGAGAATCTTATATCTTTGAGGCATGTGACCAAGGGTCATGAAGTCATTTTAACAGTGATTTCCTGGAAGGAATATTTTGCAACCTCATTCATTGGGATAACAGGCAATATAGCCCCATGTTTTCACATAACTCTATGGTCACAGCCCTCCAGTGACAACATGTGCCCCATGATGTCATGAGTGTCAACTCACAAAGCATCCCTGGCCTCCTCTCGAGTTGCCATAGGAAAGGGGGAGGGATAGGAAATCAATGAAACGGCAGGACAGTAAAAGACAAATGCACATTCCAGACGTATCTCTTTCAAGGCTGTCTCCCAGGGTTCCTTACAGTGGCTGGAGAGGAGTGATCTCTACAACCCGAGAAAATGCCCTGTTGGCGAATGTGATTGATGACACATGGGGGAAGGAGGGAAAAAAGGGTTGTGACTGGGTCCATAAATTACGTGGGGTCAGAGCTGGCTTCACTTGGGAACACGCTGACATGAAGCTCCTAATAAATAACTGGATTTCTTTTGAAGCTTGGCTCG